GCCAAGGCCGAATAAAATCTTCATTTTTCCGTAGCATCGCGTTAAAAAAGCACTCACAAATCAATTACACTATTATATTATTGCTATGCACACTTCTTTCACAATTTATTTAGATAATAACACATAAAAAAAAGTAGAAAAAAATAATAAAAAAAAAAATAATAAGAGAAAGAGTAAAGCACACCCACGCACAATTAAAAAATACTAATTAGCGATGCAAGAACATCGATACTTGACAAGCTGCGATGATTGATCGATCTGCATCGCATGCCCAATCAAGGGCATCGATACCAGCGCCTGCATATCTTTAGTTACATATTTAATACGCTAATGCGTCGCAATGTCAAAATATTGTATTGCGCGCTGCCATAAAACTGACTTCTGTCCTTGCATAGCATTATTTGCGCGATATTTGTTAGCATTATGCTAAAGCTGCGCTACCCTTTCACTAAGTTAAGTTGACACCTCATATTTAGTTGTTTTCTCCTTTTTTTTTTTTGGGGCCAACGCTTAAGTAATGCGATTAATCGGCGACGATTGCTGCGTTTGTGACAAATGCAAATGCCATTGTTGTAATAATGAGTGCATTTTATCAGAAAGCTGAGCCTGGGCAAGTGCAGCTGATACTCGATACTTTTCGATGCGAGTATTAGCTGCTGCTGCTGCTGCTGTGTGTGTGTGTGTGTGTGTGTCGGCTTTCACTTTTAAGCCTTAAGCCAGTTTTCTTAACCAATTTTCCAGCCAGCATCGTATTACGAAACGGAAATCCTTTCGGTTTCTTCCGCTCTTCCTTTTCCAGCCAGCGCGATGCTAACAAGATTAATGAACGGGCTGCGCACGGCCAAAAAGGACGGGCAGGTCCTCAAACACGCACACACACACACACACACAGGCACACACATGTGAGTTGAATGTTTTCTGTTTGGTCATTGTCCTTTTTTGCGCGCTAGGCAAATAGCAATCGGCGCAGGCTGCGGCGTTCCGTTTGTTTATTTCGTTTTATTTTTTTTTTTTTTTTGATTATTATTTTTTAATAGCCTTTACCTGTTCGACGAGGTAACGCGATGCGCCCATTTAGTGTGCAAGCCGGAAGTTTGTACATTCGTTTTGCTTTTTATTGCAATTGCCGCTGTCGCAGAGGCGAACCTAACCTCAAACCCTTTTATCGTTACGCTTGACAACCCTGCAGCATGACTGACCTGTCGCGTGCACAACTGCTAAAAATAAAACTGTGTCGTTTACAGTTATTCGGTTGTGATCTTATCAAAATGCGGCATTGATCAATCGGAATGGTTTTTGAGGTTATGTTTGCCAAAGATTTTAGGGTTATGTACGCTAACTTTAGCCTTGAACAGTATTTCATTTACTATACTATAAAATCTATGTGTATACCCTGTAATTTCCCAGTGCCAGGCAAAACAACTTGAATTCTATATGTTTTTGCAGCTCTTTTGGCTACTTTTGCGTTGCTTTATATATTTTTCATAATTTTTGGGTTTCATATAAACCATGTGACTTAATAAATATTTCAAAAAAAAATAATAATAATAATAATAATAAAAAAAAAATATATATGTATATAAATGTGTATATTATGTAAGATATAAGGACACCAACCGCTTATACCAAAAAGAAACGAACAAATATTTGTGATTTCCTCTAAGAAATGTTTTTCTACGTGTTATTTTTTTTTTACGATTTTTTGTGCTTTTTTTTTTTGTCTTTTTTATCAAAATGCGCTTAGCTCACACACAAAGTTTGACTCTCTGGCTGACTGTGGTGGAGTGGGGAAGTGGGTGGTTGGGTGGGGGCGGGGTTATAAATGGTTCTCCATTACGGGACATGCATACATATATATATATATATATATATATATATATAGATACAGGATATATAGCGGGTCACGGAGCTGGTTTTACAGGGTATCTATCTACGCGACCGTTTGATATTTGCGCGGCTCAAGCGAAATATTGAAGCCATTCTCCAGCTTGAGTATAATGTCCGCCTGCAGCTTAAAGTCCGCCTCCGTGTCGGTCGAGTGAACAATAAAGTTGCGCACAATTGTGGATAGAAGAACCTTCAGCTTGAGCATGGCATATTTGCGTCCAACACAGCTGCGCGGTCCCGCACTGAACGGTATGAAGCTGTAGTAGTGCCTGTTGGCGGCACGTTCCGGCAGGAAATTATCGGGATCGAATTCGGTCGGATTGGGATAGATGTCGGGACGACGATGGACACAATATTGGAGAAGAACAACGGTGGTGCCCTTGGGCACCGTATACGGTCCACTGACCAGCTTGACATCGTGATCCAAACGGCGGGCAATCAATGGCACTGGCGGATACATGCGCAATGTTTCGAGTATGACGCGCTCCAGATATTTCATTTCCATGGTGTCGGCAAAGGTGCAATCGCGCTGCATATTATCGCCAAAGATTGACTTCTGTTCGGCAAAGACACGCTCCTGGATGTGCTTGTGTATGCCCAGCATGCAGAGCGCAAAACTGGAGCCAGCCGAGGTGGTGTCATGACCCTCAAACATGATTGTGTTCACCTCATCCATGATGTCCTTTTCGTTCCATTCGATATCGGGATTCTTGGCCATCTCGACCATGGCGTCGAGCAGTGCCAAACGACGCTTGGCGCCAACATCGTTCTCATCGATGTCATCCAAATCGTCGCGCAGACCCTCCTTTTTGGTTGCGGACGTGACGCGTGACTGCTTGACGGGCGTCTCCTCGACCTCCTCGATAATGGCATGCGTTTCGTTTTGGAAATTATCCTTGCGATCCTTGACCACCTTGCGTGTCATGCCCAATATGATGTTCATCATGCGATCACCCTTCTCGCGCAGCTTGGTAAACTTATAGATGCTATCCAAACGATACAATAGCTTCACCTGACGCTTGTGTATAATATCGCACATGTCCACCACAGCCTGGGCATACTCGAAACTCTTATTGCCCTCCGGCAGCTTCTTGACGCCCATTGCCGTCGACAACAGTATATCGACGGTTGTCTGTGACATATAATCGTGCACATCGAATGATTTGCCTGCCTCCTTGGCCATGCGCGCCGACACGGCCTTCGAGTGATCCACGAACGTTGGCACAAAGCTCTTCAAGATGCTCTGATGGAATGTGGGCGCAATCATTTTGCGATGATGGCGCCAATGGTGGCCATTGCTGATCAGCAGCCCATCACCGAACCAGGGCTTAAAGTAGCGATATTCCTCGGCCTTGGTCAGATGCTGGTGTCCGCTCAATATGAGCTCAATGTCGCTGGGATTCGTAAGGAACACAATCAGCACATTGCCCAGCCAGGCCTTCATTGTCTCGCCATATTTGTTCAGATAGCCCAGACCGACAGCCAGAATCTCGGCATTGCTCAAACCTGCCGCCAAATGGGCCATGCCAATTATTGGCAACGATGGCGGCGATGGTATATTGGCCACCATACGATATTCCCGGGTATTGCGATGCCAGTACTCGTACAGGGCCATGATCAGCATGGTGCCAACCAGGCCAGTTAGCAGGGGGCTGAGCATGAAGCTGCCCGTGCTGCCCGTTGCCTGTTGCAGCGTCTCCTGCACCGTTTCCACAGACATCCTTGCGCTCTTCTAATCTGCTCCTCTTGCAACTCTATTGTTTATATTATATTGATCCTGGCGTCGTTCGGCTCTTGTGCTTGATCCAATCTGCTGCTCGTTGCGCTGCCAATGCTCAACTGTGTGTGGTCTGTCGGCCCGTTTGGTCAATTATAGTCGTCCAGCGGCGGCTGGACTATGCGCCAATGCGTGCTATGCACCCGGCTGACCCCCAATCAAGTGTTAAGCGTATTGCGCCGTTCCATTTGCAAACCAAATTCGCCAGCCCCCATTTTCCCTTGTTCCCCTGCCCAATCCTCTGCTTTGGCTTTGGCAGCGCTTCACTGTGTTGTCTTCACTTGCCATTGGCTGTGGCTCCCGTTGTTCTTGTTGTTTTTATTGCTTTTGGATACGTAATCGCAGCGATCGCATGTTGGGGCTGAAAGTTTTCTGTGCCCGCTAGAAACGAGCGCAAGTCGTGCTTTCGGCGCGTGACACGATATCCAGACAAAGATGTGACCGTATCAAGTCGATGCCAAACTAAAACGATAACTATATATCGATATATGCTTACTCGCAGTGTATTGAGTATTTTTTAGTGAAATAGTCCTTTGCCGCAAGGCGAGACTCAACTTGATGCCTAACTAAATATCGATAGGTACGTATATCGATATCGTATATCGATGCCTGAGAGCAGTGTGCAGCATTTTGCAGTACGTGACCTTATAGTATCTATTGAAACGAGCGCAAGTCGTGCTTTCGCCGCGTGACACGATATCTAGACAAAGATGTGACCGTATCAAGTCGATGCCTAACTAAAACGATAACCGTATATCGATGCTTACTCACAGTATATTGAGTATATTTTAGTGAAATAGTCCTTTGACGCAAGGCGAGACTCAACTTGATGCCTAAATAGATATCGATATGTACGTATATCGATATCGTATATCGAACGCGTAACGATAACTTTATATCGATGATTAGCTTTTTGGTACTCAATGTAAATAGTCCTTTGCCGCAAGGCCAGACTTATCTTGTTGACAAAATAAATATCGATAAATATGTATATCGATATTTTATTTCGCATATCGATGTCTGATAACAGTATGCGGCATTTCGCAGTACTTTACTGTATCCAAAGAGATAATCGCTATACATATCGATAGGCATAAATCGAATTGATGTTCCAATCATGCTTATGCACATTAGCTTATGGATATTGGCAGGGCGAGGTTAGGTTAGGTTACACAGACCGGGAGTTGTACCCAGAGGTCCATTAGAATGCACCGTTGTATAAGCTTTTGCCGTTAAATAGGTCGTGCCCTTTGGCGTGGCACGAGCACGATATCTCGAGTACTAGCTAAAAACCAACCCGCTTACTATGGATAATAGATATTTATATATATCTTAATCTATAATATACATATTATATTTCTATTTGAATAACATTTACAGTGAAATAATCGTTTCTTTTTGGCGTGACACGTGACATGGAAACACGGCACATGCTCGTGTTGGTCTCGCCAGGTGTCATCTCTAGTTTCACACACTTCCGCAGGATGCTCGTGTGATCCTCGCTCTCTCTCTCTCTCTCTGTCTCTCTCGCTCGCGCTGCGTATGCAAAGCAGGGACTACCTGTGCAAAAACTACCTGCAACGGAAGTGGGTGATATTTTGTTGTTGTTGTCTCTCTTCCTTCTTGTTTATTATTATAATTTTTGCTATTGTTCCTGTTGTGCTTGTCGTATTTTGCTTTCGCTTTTCATTTAAATTCAATTTCAGCATATTTTTTGTTTTCTTCCTCTGTGTATGTATTTCCTTTTGTTATCAACACCTGAACGCGATTGCAAAAACCGAAATGTAAGTGGAACAATGAAAAGGAAGCTGTCGCTTTTAAGGACTTGCCTCCCTATTCACGTGCCCCTCTGCTGTCCTCTTGCTGTTTGTCAAATATATATATATATATATATATATATATATATATATTGTTTTTTTTTGAGTGCTCTTCTATTTGATTTATTTACATTCGGATTGCCTGGCATTGGATTAATTTCGCTTTTTGCTCGCGTGTTGCGAGCGTGTGTTGCCACAGCTGGCAGAGCCTCACCTGGCATTAAGTGCCAACCGTTGCCCATCTCTTCTTCTTCTACATCCCGGCACTTAGCCCTTAAGCCTAGAAATATGCTTTGTATACCGCCTGCAGCTCGAACTCAACTGGTTTCTTATGAGACATGCACATTCGCCGCCTTCCAATTGGATGCCAATTGGCCGATAACCTATATCTTATCGGAAGTGCCTATTATTACGGTATATTAGCTAGACTAAATCGAAGCCACGTGTTCTTATTACTATTCACAACATTCCAAAGGTCAACGTGTATCTGTATCCGTGTTCCTGTATCTGTATCTGTGTATCTATATCTGTGTATCTGTATCTGTGTATCTGTATCTATGTATCTGTATCTGTGTATCTATGTATCTGTATCTGTATCTGTATATGTGTATCTGTATCCGTGTACCTGTATCTGTATCTGTGTATCTATAACTGTGTATCTGCGTATCTGTATCTGTGTATCTGTATCTGTGTATCTGCATCTGTGTATCTATGTATTTGTATCTGTATCTTTATCTATGTATCTGTATCTGTATATGTGTATCTGTATATGTGTATCTGTATCTGTGTATCTATGTATCTGTATCGGTATCTATGTATTTGTATCTATGTATCTATCTGTATCTGTATCTGTATCTGTATCTGTGTATCTGTATCTGTATCTGTGTATCTGTCCGTCTATATATCTGTGTATCTGTATCTGTACGAGATTAGTAGAGCCTGCACCCGACATTATATTCATGAGCAATTTCCATTTATATTCTACAAATTAAAATACCTCGTGCATAACATTTAATAAATTTATTTCACAAAAATGCATTTTGAAAATATAAAATGATGTCACGTAGTTTCATTTTCGCAATAAATTAGAATTTCGAATTTGACGCAGCGATCGGTCTTAAAGTTTAGTTAAATGTGGACATGTTGTTTCCAGATGTCGTATGGACTTTACATGCGTAAAAATAAATTAGGTAAATGAATGCATTTTAAATATTGTGAACGCGTCGTCATTTGAATACGAATTTCGATTAATGCTAATTATATATGTATATATATATATATAAATATATATATATATATATATATATATATATATATATATATATATATATATATATATATATATGTGTGTGTGTGTGTGTAGGCTAGCATACATATATGACTTTTTTTCTTGCAAATTTTGGACACAGAAGCATTTGATTATGTCATTTTTTTTTGTTATATAATAATTTAATATTAATACGTTTAAGTATAGTATATGGGCATTATAATAGTTTATTTTGCTTAAATTTGTTTTCTGTTTCTTTTTTTTGTTTATTTTCTTTCTGATTTTCTTGATCTTTTTCTCTTTCTTTATATAACGGAATCGCATTACAAGCTAACATTGTCTTTTATAAATTGTTTGTGAATTTCTCAATAGACCTCAACAGACTTATGACGAGGACATAAAAACCACAGAAGTTGCATAAATATAGTTATACAGGAACACACCAGCAGGGAAAGGGGACACTGGCTGGCCCGACAGCACAGTTATCGCAAATATCTATATATGCATTTATATATATATATACATATATATATAAATATAGATATATATCTAGACTCGCACAAGTACATATATACAAAACAACATGATATAACAGGGACGAAGACACGATGAGGGATTGTTTCGGTGTGCGGGTGTTCCTTGATGTGTTTCTCTTTTTCTTTTTTTTTTTTTTCCATTTGGCGCATTCGCTTACGTCGTCTCATTGAGATGCGCGCAGTGCGCGTCCTGCATGAGCTGCGTCAGTTTCTGCGTAAACGTTGGAATGTCCTGCCAGAGCATAAAATTGTTAATTCGAATATTTAAAATGTTTATATAATCAAATTGTGACGTACAGTTGTCTGGCATATTTCCTCGAGCGCTGTTTGCGGAACTGGCAATGCCGCATTCACGAAGCTCTCGTGCAGCTGGCGACGATCCACCTGACCCATGGCATACAGTGCCTGTGCAATCAGATCACAGTGGAGCGCACCCTCGCCGCTCGACAGCAGATTGAGCAGCGCCCGCTGAAAGGAGGCCAACAGCTGCTCCTTGAACAGGGCCCGCTGATAGAGGCGACTCCGTTCGTTCACATTCTGCATGGAGACCAAAACGCTGCGCACATTACTGGGATCTGTGCCGCTGACCAGCATCTGGCCATACGCATTCATAATGGCCATAAAGTGTTCCGGATGCAGATTGTCGCTGCAATTGAAATTGTGCGGCGGCGATGACGCCGTTGACTGCTGCTGTCCATTGGCATGACCATTGCCATGGCCATTGCTCAGCTGATTCTTGTAGAAGAATTGCCACTTGCAGGTGAGCACGCTGTCGTGATGTGGCAGAAGTTTTAGCAATTAAGTCAGAAGCTGTGTGCGTTGACTTCGCTCACCTGTCGAAGAGCGCAAATAGCAGGCTGGTTATCTCGCTGCTATCCGTTGCCGCATTCTGTTGCTGCAGCAGCGGCAATATCTGTTGTGTGCTAAACGTCAAAATGCTGGGCATCAGCACCAGTGACCCGTTGCCCGGCTGCTCCACAATTAGCTGAAACATTTGCAACACCTTCTCCATAACAGCCAGCCGGCTGAGCGTCAATTGTTCCCTGAAAAAAAAAAGAAAGAAAAACAAATACATGCATCAATTAAAGTGGGACAGCTAGCATGAATATTGAGACGCACCTGCTGCTGACATCGATGAACAATGTGATCATCTCCCTGATGAATTGTGCACCCAAATGTATGGGCAGGGTGCGCAGCATGCTCAGACTGAAGTCGGCGACGGTAATGGCCATGGCAATGCTGCTCAATCCAAAGCTATTGAAGATAACCAGCGCCTTGTTCAAAATGGGCTGAGAAAGGTAGAGAGAGAGAGAGAGAGATAGAGGGAGAGAATTGATGAGAGTGAGACAGCGAGTTATTTAGAGGCAAGTAAAGGGCACGATTAAGAGATATCCTTAAACAAGCTGGCTTTAAAAAGCAATCAAGTCTCCTTTTATACACACATATGATTCCTTCTTCGCTTGGCCTTGCTGCTTAACTAGAATCTAATCTGATTTAACTGTTAACATTTGTCTAATACATTTGAAGAACAGGGCACATCCTTATTTGAATTAGTTGGCTATCTATCAAATGTTCTCATAACTTGGCGACAAGTTTGCATAAGGCAACAGGACCTGACTTAGCGCTACGAACTGAACTTTATCTAAGCTTAAACATCGTATGCCATAAAATGCCTGCAGCTGTTTGTCAGAGTGCGCTCACCTTAAAGGTGTGCGCCAGCATATCCTTGGCATGAGCGCCCGTCGCCTTGAAGTGCTCGATGAGCGACGTAAAGGTGCCCAACAGGCTGAGCGTTGTGGCCGCCACTTTGCTCTCGCCCGCGGCGGGCAGTTCGAGCTCAAGGAAATTGCGTGACAATGCATCGATATACTCCCGCAACATCCATTGACGACGCTGATAATCCTGCTGCAGTTCGGGCACATTCTTCCAGGGCAACACCATATAGCTGACCAGACTGATGTGCACATTGACGCACACCTGACGCGGTAGTTGGGCGCCCAGCCGTGGTCCCGCCTGCATTAGGCTCTGTATTTCGGGTATATCCAGCAGACATTTGGGTCGTATCACAGTCGCTATAAAAAGCAGCACCTCGCTCGCCGCCTGCTGTACAATCGGTGAACCCGCCGATGGCGATGGATTGCCCGCAAATATGCTGCCCAATACGGCAAAGAGTCGATGCAGCAGCTGTTCGCTATTGAGACAACGCGACAGCGGAAATATGCTGCGTATGGCCATTAGAACTTGAGCGTAACTGTGCCAAATAAATAAATATAAATATCAATGGGCATTTTAAGTGGAAAAAGCTGAACGTACAGATTGTCCATATCGGTCTGGAAGCTCGCCTTTTCCGCTTCGCTTCCGCCGACGCGATTGCTGGCGAGCAGATGCAGCGTTTGCAGCAAACGATCCGATAGCACCTGCAGCTGGCTCTCCATTTCGCCCCTAACATCGGCTGCCGCTTGCGTTGGATCCATGAGTGGAGCCAGACGCACCACGGCCTGACACACGGTCGCAAAATCACGCAATATTTCGCCAACATTTGCCGTTTTCAGTTTACGTGCCATCTCATAACAACGTCCGCTGCCATGATCCAGGGCCAGTTCCAGCGACAACAGATAAGTCTGCGGACGGGACCAATGGGCAAAGACTTGGGCAAACACGATGTGTGCACCGCGTGTGCTTGCCAGCAGGGCCAGGCATTCGAAGCACTGGTCCAGAAACTGTTGCCATTCCGTTGTCGGTGTTTGCTACAAATAGAAACAATGTTAAACAATCGATTACTCGATATCGATAAATATCGAAACTGCAAACTGGCTTCAAAACGAACCCGTTTGTTAACGAATTCCTAATTTCCATTTGCAATGCTCTTTGAAAATGCTTGGAAAGAGGAGATACCCGAGCACAGCGGACAATTTAAAAGCTATCGATTACTAGATATCGATATGTATCGATTTCAATGCCCTGTACACATTAAACGACGAGATGAGTCTAGGTAAAAGAAAAGCTATTGGTGACAAGATATAGATAAATGTATATCAAGGCTGGAAATCGGTTATGAAGTATGAGTATATAAAAAATGTTATCGATTACGATATCGATATATTACGGAGCCATAAGTCCTTTTTAAATCGAACCAATATTTTGAACCTGCACCCTTAGAATATGGGAAACAGAAGCGATTGACAAGGCAAGAAGATATACTGAACCAAGGAAAAGAAAGGCAATCGATTGCTAGATATCGATATGTATCGATGCTAGCAATCGGTTTTGAATCGAATCGATTTATAGCCGCATTTTTGAACACTTTGAAAAAGGGGAAATGGTAGAGAAATGTGAAGCATGGTCTATAAGATCTAAAAAAGGGCTTTTTACCCTATTTCTGCCTTAGTTCAAAGCTATCTCAAGCCTGAGTCAAATGTGCCTTAAACAAATTCAATATTTACCAGAGACATTTCTAATCGAAAGACTGCCGACACTCAACATTAGCTGGAATAAAGTTAAATATAGAGTTTTTTTTTTTACGCACATCGTCCTCCATGAGCTCATTGTCCAGCAGCTCCAGCTCGGGCTTGTTAATCTCAAATTGTGTACGTCGCATTATCTCATCCACCAGCTTCATCATCATATCACCATGAAAGGCCGTCATCTGCGTTGGCTGCTCTGCAATCACCTTGATGATGGGCGTCCAAATGTCCAGCTTTTCGGTAAAGTCTAGAGCGCCGTGTACTGCACAAAAAAAAAAATAGATCAAAATATATGAATAAACTTTCAACTGAATTGGAGTCTGTTTGGCGCACTTACATTTGGTGGTGCAGCGATAAAGTTGATTAAGAAATGGCTCAAGCACTTCGGGCTCCTGAAACAATTTCGCCGCATATTTGGTGGTATACAAACGCAACAGTTCACGAAACTTATCGCTATACATTTCGCTCTGTTGTTTGCTACGATTATGCTGTTCCAGCAGGCCGCTGACGCCGTTCATCAATGTACCGGCAAAGGGCAACACCTTTTGCAGATAGAGCAGCTCGTTTAGCACCGAGAGGGCGGCCAGGGAGATGGGCTCATTGTTTTGACGCCATTGCGATAAATCAAGTATGCTCATTAGGAAGTATTCCGAGATCAGTTCGGTGCATATCCAGCTGACCAAATGCTGTACACAGCTGAGCAGCTCCAGTACAGAGGAACTGTAAAAGACCAAACATCAACCTAATAAATTGTAAAAATTGCAATAATAGGGGTATTCCTCAAACTAATTATGCTTCGATTATGCTTTTCTGCTACGACGAAATTTTAATGCTCTTTGCTTTGTCTGCAGAATAAATTGTATAAATCATTTTGAAACTATTTTAAACCGTTTTCTAGCACATTTCTCTTTACCGATAACACAGCCTTCAGTTATCGATAACTTTTGGTGGACGTACAATGTTTAAAGATTTGAAATTTGAATTATTGAGAAACTTATTCCATAAAGTCGGACCTTACACCTATTTCAACTCAATTATTAAATAATTTCCAATAAAAACAAAACATTACAGCTGCAATTTATCGATATCGATTCTTCTACATCTCAGTTATCGATAACTTTACGTATTCTAACACTGATCAATTTATAATAAAGTTTAGTCTCGTTAATTGAAAACTTCTTCCATATCATTTATAATGAAATATGGCACAACTGCTGTGTAATCGATAGCTTTTTTGTGGGCTTATAAAAGTCAAATTAATAAAATGTGCAGCTCAAAAACGTAGCTACACAGCTGTAGCGAAAATTGAATGCAACTGCAGTTGATTCTGGGTTAATTCCCAACAATTTTCCTTTATATTTCTTATACACATATGACGAACATTACGAAACAGCTGTTGGCTATCGATAACTTGATTATATTTTAATTGGTTTAAGAAGAGAGAATACCCATAATTAAATGTAGTCTAAGTTTTTACTTGCTTCATATTTAAACTCAATTTTCTAAATAAAAGTTGATTGAAGGCTACAGCTGACGGTTATCGATAACTTTTTTGATAATGCCACATATTACAAAATCGACAGAAAGTTATCGATAACTTTATACTAAACTCATTTTGCAGCTTATTGGACTACTTTCCTTGCCTAGGGCTAGTTAAATATGGAACACCTGTTGCTAATCGATAACTTGTACATCGATAATTAGTTTAAGGATTGCCCCTAATGGATATTTACTTGCTTTCAGTTAAGACATACCTTAATTGATTGTCATTTGGCAGCGCTGTGGTTAGACTGAAATCCATGAAGGTGCTGGGTATGGTCGTGTGTATGTCTTTGCCATTGATATGACAGACAGCGATTAGTAGATATTTGGTGAGCAGCTCCAGAACATCGGGTATACACATGGAAACGCTGCACACACACACACACACACACACACACACAGAGAGAGACAGGGGCAGGCGGAGCACAAGGAGAAAGGGTAGACGGACTCACAATTAGTTTTGAGTTACATGAATCACAAATAGAATGTTTAATATTTATAGACGCAGCCTTACCATGAGTGAAAGTATTGCTTCCATTCGGTGGTCAGGTCGCCGCGATTGCTGACCACCTCTTCGGATGTGACGCGCAACAGATTGATGCCCAGACAGAAACGTGTCTTGGTCAGCTCCATGCAGTGCTGCATATAATTGGGATCCTGTTCGGGAAATTCACGTTTGCCCAGCAGCGCAATTAGCTGCGCCAATGTATCCCGATGCCGTCGGGCGCCGGTGAGCACCACCAGCTGGGCATAGCTATGCCAGAGCGTTTCGCGCAACAGCGTACGATCCGCCGCCGTCAGCTGTGTCCAGCGGCGCGTTATCGTATGCTCCAGCGTTGAGGTGCTAAAGAACCATAGGAATTGATTCTCTGTAAAGCTATTGCTAGCGGTTGCGACGCGCAGGCACAGCTGCCAGGCCTCCGGCTGCGATTTGAATGCCAACAAATTGGTTTCGATCTCACGTTTTCGGGCATTGCTCGTCGTCGGCTGGTAGAACTCGTTCAGCAGCACCTCCACCGACGTCATCGAGGCGGCATGCTGCACGATGACGCATATTGCATTAGTATTCAGGGACAATGGAGTATTGGGTGTAAAAGCGACAACCGTCCCGTTTTTTTTTTTTTTTTTCGCTCCACTTCTTTTTTTTTTTCTTCAGCCTTAAGACTTACCATTTTGTTGGCGTTTGGTGTGGGTGTGTGTGCGGGCGCGACCCCTGCGGTCTGAATGGTGTGCGGTTTTGTGCTCGGTGCTAGCGGTGATAAGTGATTTGAGTGCATTAGCAGTTGTTTGCTAAGAATTTCATGATTTATATTTGAATTTTTTTTTATCAATTTTCTTTGTGTATATACGACTTGCACATCTCGGCAGCGTTGCCAGTGCAATGGTAGTGTTGCCACACAGCTAAATTGCTGTGCACTTAACAGCGCAGCTCTCATTTAACATTGCACTCTAGTATGTTGTTCACAGTGTGGCAAGCAAAATTGCATATCAATTTGTTCGGCAGCATACTGATGAAATACGATGAAGTGTACAGAACACAATGTTTGTCTTAATAAAAGACATAATGTCTGCCTATATTGAGTGTATATAAAAGCGCAGTCCACAGCTTATTCGTTAAGCTGTTCGATTTGATTTTCTTAGCTGCATACCAGTTTTGCCGGCACCGTTCGATAGGCGAGCAATTATCAGGGACGATTTCAAAACGATTTGTGACAGCTTATTTTTAAATTGTATGCCTATCGAATATAACGACTCATATCGATTGAAATTTACAGCTCGCTGAGAGCATAACAGCTGGAAAGTCGAAGACGACAACCAGAAACGGGTGAAAACGACAGAAAACGGATGGAGCGATAGCAACGCAGTGCATTTCATAAATGTTGAGCCATTAAACAATATTAGTTAAACAATTGTCGCTGTCGTAATAAACAAACACAAATACGAAAAAAATCGTGAAAAAATGCACAGACGGTCGGTGCATACAACAATGTGGAGAAGTATCGAAGCGTAAAAATCAAAGGCGGCGCCAGCCACTCGAACACCAGCCAACCAACCAACAACAACAATAGCCACGATAATAAATTGGAGAAATCAAAATAAAAGGTATCACCCATGGCCAATCGAAATGCACAAATTTGTTCGCGAAATACCAAAATTACACTTGAATTAGTTTAATAGCAAAGGTCTCGCAATTAAATGCAAAGTCTGTCCGTGTGTGTGTGCGTGTGTGCGCTGGTGGGGGTGCCACACTGATTGAAACAATAATAACAACAGCAGTTGGAAAACGTCAGCCATTAAGTGTGGCCAGCTGCAGAGATCGCTGCACTCTTTAACAGCGGTTCTAACTGCTGATGTTGTTGTTGCTGGTGTTGCCACTGTCCTGAAAATTTGGTCATTGTACATTGTACGCCCAATACTGCTCTTACGTATGCACACTGCGTACATATACATGCATATGTATATATATATATATATTTATATTTATATATACATATATAGGTATTTGTACATGTGTAGGCAGCCCTTGCAGTTTTGTTTTGCCTTTTGACTGTTGCTCTCCGCTCTCGCGCTCTCTATCTATATATCTCTATCCCTGTCTTTCGCTCACAGTTGCTGGGCGAGAGTGCAAATGCTAAAATAGCCGTTGTAATTTGGTTGTTTTTTTGTCTTTATTTTTTTGGATTTTATACCCAACAATTGCAACTAGGCCTATCAGTCGATACGTGAATGCTACCGTTAGACGCTTAAAAATGGATTTTTGAAAAGCCGTTAGTAAGCGTTTGTGTGTGTGTGTTTGTATGTATTGTGAGTGTGTTTGTGTGTATGTATCCTTGCTATTATCTTAATTGTTGCTGCCCACTCTGCTTCCGACTTGCTGCTGCAAACTGTTTTGCACAGCTTGATTACGGCCATAATTGTTATAAATAACTGTTATACAGAATTTGTGAAATTGGCATTTCTTCGTTGCTTATTTACATAGATATGTGTGTGTGTGTGTGTATGTGTGCACACATACCTATATACATATGTATTTCTTGTTTTTGTCTGCTCTTCTACTACGCACTTTGCTTTTGCACGCTTATTGCGTTGTGTTTTTATGATTTCTTTTCGCTTTTGCCTTTACTCTTGCGTTTTGAATCTTATCAGCAGCAACGGAAATGTAACATACACTAATACATGCGCACGCACACATATATGTACATACATACATGAACGTACATACATATTTCTGTGTCTGTGTGCACGCCTTGCAGCTAAAAACGTTTACAAACTTTTTGTTTATGTATATGTATTTATTTTTTTTTCACCAGTTTTAACTGTTTCTTGGCCTTAGCCCATATTGGCCACCCACCGTTAGCCCATATGACGCGCCCTCCCCCCCCCCCCCCCTGTTTTCGCATGCCTCATTATGCACTTGGGTAGACTTTAATGCGCAGTCAATGACCGTGCTCTGCCCTATGGTAGGGGGAGAGAGATTGAGGGGTTGGTGTATAGAACAAATACCTTTTGTGAATTCACGAACTGCTGTGTGCTAAGAATTTAGCTGTGCATAGCCTTTACACCACTGTGCACACACACACACACACACACACGCGCGCGTTTGACCCCGTTAGGTTCAGACTTAAATCAATTTCCTTGCAGTTGGTTGCCAGGCTTCAAACTTTGAACCTGTGCTTGAGTTAGACTGGAAGTGCGCTTTGGAAGCGCTGTCTGTGTGTGTGTGTGTGTGTGTGCCTGTGTGGGAGTGTGTGTGGTGAATGGTTGGTAGTGGGAGGGGGGGGGGGGGGATTCGCTGACTAGGGGTACACACTAACTTGTGCGTCATTGCGAACTAAACAAAACGCGTTCGTTGCCAAATGAAGGGCATTGAAAGCTTCGGCGTTGCTCGCTTGTCTCATTTGCTTTGCGCCTCGCTGTGCGTGTGTGTGTGTGTGTGTGTTTGTGTGTGTGTGTACTGCATTTAGCGTCGTGTGTGCTTTACAGCTGCTGTCCTTGATTATAGCTTTTCTTTGGTTGGCAGAATCGTGGGGACTGGTTGCTGCTGTTTCTGTTGTTATTGTTGCTTCTTCTGCTGCTGCTGCTGCTTCTCTTTCGCCTAATATTGTTTGTATAGTTTTGACTTGTTTTTATTGTTGTTGTTAACGTTTGGCTTTGGCTCTCGCTTTGTTATTGTGATTTGCTTTGTACATGTGCTTTGTGGGGGCCTCTCGCATGCTCTCCCTCTCTCGCTCGCTCGCTTGCTCTGTTTGCTTGACAGCAGGTTGGCGCGTTGTGCGCGCTCTCTCTCTCTCTCTCTCTCTCTCTCTGTCGCTCGCATTAGATGAGCTGCTCTGTTTCGTCTGCTCTCTCTCGCGCCTTCTCTCTCTCTCTCTCTCCTTCTTGTTCTCTGTGTGCTGCGCGCGTTCTCTCCCTCGCAGCGTTTGGCGTTGTCGCTGTCGCTGTCGCTGCTGCTGCTGCTGCTTGCGCTGCTTCTTATGCTGCTTTCAGATGTTCGTGCGCTGCTCGCTGGGGGCTTCCAAACTCTGTTGCCAGTTAATTTTCAGTAACTAGTTGAAGTAGACAACAAAAAAATTAAAAAAAAAAAAAAAAAAACAAACAAGGCGAGCAAAATCAAATCAACGGCCAAAACTGCAAAACAGCACCTAAAACAGATACAATAACAAACGCGACCCCAAAAGCAGAAGCAATAAAAACAACAACAACAACAACAACAACGGCAGCAAACAAAAGTAAAGCAATAACCAAAAAAAAAAAAAAAATGAGACAAAACCAAAGACAAAGCAAACGCAAAAAAAATATATACAACAACAACAACAACAGAGTGTTATCTCTGTAAATGTGTGTGCGTGTTTTTGTTGAAATTGTTTTCAAAAAGTTTCGTAATTATCTGAAAATGCAACACATAAATAAAATGCAGTCAGCTGCGTGTGTTTATATATACATATGTGTGCGTGCGTGTGTGCGTGTGTGTGAACAGGCGGGTAGACAACAGACATAGAATATTGAGTGAAAGCATGCACACAACAATTTAATTTTCATTTCATTTTCGCATTTGCTTTCTTTCGCTTTGTTTCCTTCTACTTGGCGTTTCTTTTGCGTGATTTAATTTAAAATGTATAAATACATAATCAGAAACACACACACACACACACACACACACACAGTGCGTATGTGTGTGTGTCAACTTTATTAAGCAGTCACGCTGGGCCACAGCAACAACAGAAATAATAATAACAGCAACAATGCACACACACACACACACACACACACACACACTCACATACATACATATGTATGGCTGCTGCTAATGTTGTTGTCTTGAACGAAATTGCAGCTGAGTGTCATTTGTTTAGTCAACAGTGCTTTGTTTTTGTTGTTGATCTTCCAGAGAGCGTGGGCTTTACACCAACAGGCACAGGCGCGCTCTCTCCCTCTCTCCCGCACACGCACACGCATGCAAAGCGCGATGAGCACACAGCTGGGAGGCAGCAACAACAACAACAACAACCACAAATAACAACAGTTAACTGTGTGTGTGTGTGTGTGTGCGCATATCAAAAACAAATGCGTACAGTGAAACTTCGCAAAAGCTTAATAAAGCGCAAAGTCAGTCGCTTTAACTACATATTTCTAATTGAAAAGCTTCACTGTAAGCAATGTGTACACAAGCATTAAGAGTGAGCGAGAGAGACAGCTACTGTTGGGGAGAGAGGGAGAGAGAGAGTGAGTGAGGCGAGCGCAAATTGAATTAGCTCATCCAAAAAGAGAGAATATTGTTGACCAGTGTACAGTGAGTGTTAACAGTTGACCGTCCGTTTGCCATATACACACATACATACGTATTAGGGATGTTAGGAAATACAAATAGACAAAGACAAGATAATATATACAGGCATGTCGCTCTATTAACTATTCTAACAATCATAATTATTTAAATTTTGTACATTTTTCAAGCCTTTAAATAATGATTTTAGAAAAACATGAAAATTCACACACGAATTGGAAATATACAAATCGGATGTCTTAGTCAGATTCTAATGGAGTTTTTACTGTATATGTATATTTTGTATATATGCATGTAGTTGTGTCATGGCGAAAGCTATTCTATAAATATTACTCATACGCAGTTTGTTGAGTCAACGAGCTTAAGAAAACAATTAGATATATGTTCGAAAAGCACACGTATAATAAATAAATGTTATATATATATCTATATAGTGGAAAATACAAATGTTGTGTTTAACAATGGTTGAGCGCACTGTAGGTTTGTCACGGGGGTTGCTGCTAACACTTTACTCTCTCCCTCCCACTCTCTCTCTCTCTCATATTCTTTCGCTTGCTCATTCGCCTGCTCGCTCACACTCATGGGGCAGCCAGCCAATAACATTAAACAGCTGAGCTTGTTTGGAAACAACAGCCGCCCATCGTAACGGACGGGGCGCGTCATCAACAAAAGCGCGCATAGAGACAGATGACAAAAAAAAAAAAAAAATAATCAAAGCGAAACAATTCCAATTGTTGCCAATGGCTCTATGCGAGCGTTAGCGCGAGCGGGTGAGAGAGAGCGAGCACGCAAATAGAATTCAAATATTTCCAATATCTCTTTCCACATGCGCTTGGACCCTGGAAAGTATGCAACAACAGCAACAGCAACAACAACAACGAATTGACATTAATATTAAACTGCATGCATGTCCTTGATGCGCTACGCTCTTTTATTGCTGTAGCACAGCCCCCGCCCCGCCCGCTAGCGTGTGTGAGTGAAAGCAGCGCTGCGCAGCGTCAGCGTCAGCACGACGTCACACACATTGTTGTTGTTGTTGCTGCTGCTGATGCTGCGCTGCTGCTGCTGCGCCGCTGACATAGTTTCGTTGCGCGTGCGAGTGAGATAGCATATGAATCTGTTACACTGGCCTGAAAAAGTGATTTGACCTACATATGGGCATGTGCGCAGGCGGAATCATGGTCAGCCTAGCATTGATAGCATTGATAAGGATAACACGCACGCATAAATATGACAGTCAATTGATATTTGATTTATTTGCAGGCAGACAGCAGCAGCTGCAGCTCCTGGATTGCTGCGTCGATTTTATATGGGGAGCAGCAATACACAACAGCAACAGCAACAACAACAGCAACAGCAACAACAATAGCAGCAACAACAACAATCACCGCCTTAGCCTTAAACCTAGTGAACAGAACGGCAATTAAAGGGCATTATTTGTCACATTAGATAAACCACACAAGAACAGGAGCAACAGGAGCAACAGGAGCCATAAAATGTCATCGCCCAGTGCTGGTAAACGACGCATGGACAATGACGTCATCAAGCTAATTGAATCAAAACACGAGGTGACCATTTTGGGCGGCTTAAACGAGTTCCATGTGAAATTCTTTGGTCCATCGGGCACACCCTATGAGGGCGGCGTTTGGAAGGTGCGCGTCTATTTGCCCGATAATTATCCATTTAAATCGCCCAGCATCGGGTTTGTCAATAAGATCTATCATCCGAATATTGATGAATCATCTGGCACCGTTTGTTTGGATGTTATCAATCAGGCATGGACAGCACTGTACGATCTATCGAATATATTTGAATCGTTTCTGCCGCAATTGCTAACATATCCAAATCCCGTGGATCCATTAAATCGAGACGCGGCCGCCCTGTACCTGCACGAGCCGGAGGAGTATCATCGCAAGGTCGCCGACTATGTGCAGCGATATGCGACCGAGGATGCGCTGCGGGCGGCGCAGCAGGAGCGCGACAGCAGCGACAGCGAGTCAAGCATGTCCGATTACAGTGAGGACGAGGCCAGAGATATGGAATTATAATATCGGTTTAACTATATTATACAATTAACAAAAACAATAGCAGCAGCGGCAATAATAGCGACAGCCTAATGCCACGATTTGATCGTACAATACAATCCGATCGCCTCGACATATATATTATTGAAAAACCACAGCAAACAATATTAAGATAGTTGTATATATATATATATATATATCGATATATATATATATATATACATAAACAACATGCATATATAAAGAACGTGATTCGATGGAGCGCATATCGCAGCGATATGTTGATGTGCGCGCACATACTTATAAATACGAAATATGATCTAACACACACACACACACACACACACATATATATATATATATATATATATATGTTAATTAACGTAAGCTAAAAGTTTGAAAAAATTCTTAGTAATATAGCAATTATAGTAGCTGATAAACAAACAAAAATCGACAAAAACAAAAATTGAAAAAAAAAAACATACCGAAAGCAAGAAATGATAATAATTTTTGAACGAAAGCCTAGAGCATTGAAATCTAAAAGCAGTACATAAACTAGAAAGAGATATAAAATACAACACACACACACACACACTGACACACACACACACACACACACACACACACGCTGACATTTGAACATCAAGTTAGTTGTATATACCCTATAGAGTATATTCCATATTTGGTTTGACAACCGTTTTGTCAGCTGTTTAGCTGCCTAGCCACGCCCCCCCCCCCTCCCCTCCCACCCACCCACTTGACTAGCTAGCCCCGCCTTGGGGCCAGCCATGCAAATAAGTCGCATCAGAATTGGCAAATAGTTAGTTAACTTTTTATTTTTAATTATACATCTTTGACGCAGCTCTTATTACTACATGTTAAATGCCTAAGCTAATGTTATTATTAAGCTAAACAAGTTGTTTTTTTTTTCTGTAATCAATTTTCTTTTTTTTTTTTTAATATATATATTTACATATATACTATAACTAGGTTGCCAATTGATTGTGTGTTTTTGTGCGTTTCAAAAATAATATATATATATATACACATATATTTATTCAAAAAAAAAACAAAAAAAACATGCAACGTCAACAAATATTTGTTAATTTTTATTTTCAATTTCTGTGTCTTGTCTTTAAACTCTTGAAGTTGTCTTTTTTTGTGCTTGTTTTTTTTTTTTTATTTTTATTTTTGATGGAACAGAACAGAAAGTAAAGTTATTTAAGCGTTAAACAAAGAAAAAAAACAAAAACAAAACAAATTTTAAGCGAAAATTAAAAATTACTATAAAAACGAATCGTACAGTTCGTGTAGAGTTGTGTATTCTAGTTAACTTAGCGCGTTCAATAAAACGATAACAATTTTGTATATATACAAACACACATATATATATATATATATAGATATGGAGTGTGGAGAGTCTTTGTTCTTAGCTACAGCGGCCGAAGTTGCGATCTAACCTCACAGTTTTGAGCTAACCTCGACAAATTTCGTAACATAACCTCACAGTTTCGAGCTAACCTCAAAAATTTTCTAACCTAACCTCACAGTTTGGAGCTAACACCCCCCCCCCCCCCCCCCCACACAGCTTTAAGCAGTAACAAAAAACTATAGTTTGGGAATACACAACTCTAAAACACAAACACACATACATGCATACATATATATATATATATATATATATATAAATATATATCCAGATCTGGCTCATGTCCGCATCAAATTCCGGAAAGATCTGAGTAAGTTAATAAAGCATCTTGAAGGGTTATCACGTCGCATTCATAAAAAACAAGTTGTAGGTAAATGAATTTACGAAGAATTACCAGAAAAAATGTTATGGAAAATCAGTAGACGTGACATAGGTTTGCCTAGGCTCAAGTTAGGATAGCTTATAATGGAGAAATAATTCTATAAATTCTATAATTAATATTTGAGTAAAGAAAATATAATTGAAATAATTTAGAGAGGTGAATTACAAAAAACCAGGTATTCTTCTTTAAAGACCCGATTCGATTTGTAGTACAGATCGTTTACAAACTTACCTAGATCTTTATTAAAACTTAAGGGTCCGAATGTTGGATATAGTTTCCAAGAGATCCCTTAGAGCATTCAGTTCTGATGTGTTCGACTTTTTATTAAATTTGTGTTATACAAAGTTCTTTTACGAATCAAACTTGAGTCGATTTAAGGGAGATTAGGGCTTCTCTCCTATTCCTAATCCAATTCAAAATGCAGTCTTATTTAAAAAATTGATTGGATGGATAGAAAACTAAGAACAAAAGCTTTCAGATTCCTAATCTCCATCGGAACCACATAATTAATTGTTCAGCTGGATTATTTCTATATATATATATAAATATATATACACACACACATATATATATTATGCTTGTTGGAGGGAGGTGGGGCTAGGGGTAAAATCAAAAAGTGTGGGTGACAAACCTGCAACAGTTTTTAAACAAATCAAATCACGATAACAAAATGAAATATAAGTGAAAAGTAAATCGTAAAACGTAATTTTTAACATACTATTATTAATTATGTATTGTGCTAACATTAACAATATTTTATGCTTAAGTTTAACAAAGTGTTTATGAAATGATTATGTAAAAATAAATTGAAGATTAATACGAATTTGAATCCAATAATGATTGGGCAAAGGCAATATGGCATTACAGACGACAACTGAGAGCAAATAATTTCTCTGGATTCTTTTTTAGGAGTGCAAATAATTGAAAAATTGAACCCCTCATCAAATTCCAATAGATTGTGTTCTATGGTAATTGCATTAGTACATTAAGCTTAGACTTTATTAGTTGCAATAATGCATTAGATACGCAAATCAATATCGTAATTTGTATGCGAGTATAACAGGAATTTAGTTAAGCACTAACCCATTTATTAAGTTCAATGGGATTTGGGTTAAGAGCGGATGTTTTGTCAATAAAAGTGTGCCTCAACTGGTGGCGCCTCCTTCGCCTGGCCATAAAGACGACCTACCTTATGGCAAATGGCTGACAATTTGCCGACGGTTTTGTCAACACATTTCATCGTTTCGCCTTGGAAACTTGAGTTTGTTGATTGCCTCAAGAAGTTAAGACTTTTGTTTTGCTCGAGAAATTTGCTTTATTTCTCAAGTTTTTGGCAAGCAACGGCAGCAGCAGGAACAGCAGCAACAGGACACCAAACAACTATGGGTAACAAACTTTAGAGCACTATATCAAATAAATGAAAAAAATTGCTCGCAATTAAGTGTGTGACTGTGAAAAACTTGCGAAAATATGCTCAGAATGCGAGCTGAACAAGGAATTCAAAAGGCAAGAATAGATATATGTGTATCCCCAAGAGGTATACATATCTATAAAGTTCTCCTTGTTTTCACACTTTGTTAAATATATTTTCGTTTTCGTCAGAGTGCACCTCTGATCCTTAAGGCAGCTGCAATTGTTGTGTTTCATTGCGCACCAAATTTCGGTTGTGTGGTATGAAAAAACAAAAAAATTACGGGAAACTATGAACACACCGAGGCCAAATCGAAAGGGTTGCCCTAAGGAGTTAATAGATAAAAAGTGTTTACATGTTAATGTCTGAGTCTGAGTGTGTGTGTGCGTGTGTGTGCGTAAGTTGGAGATGGACGCGTGCCAGCTTGCTTTTAACACGGCACGAGCACGAACAACAATAGGAAAACACACTCGGTCAAAAATATTGCCAATACTTTCCCTTTATCATTATCATTATCATCCCCGTTATCGTCATCATTACCAATATCATTATCATTATAATTTTTCTTATAATTGTCATTGTCGTTGTCATTGTCATTGTCATTGTCATTGTCATTGTCATTGTCATTGTCATTGTCGTTGTCATTGTCATTGTCATTGTCATTGTCATTGTCATTGTCATTGTCATTGTCATTGTCATTGTCATTGTCATTGTCATTGTCATTGTCATTGTCATTGTCATTGTCATTGTCATTGTCATTGTCATTGTCATTGTCATTGTCATTGTCATTGTCATTGTCATTGTCATTGTCATTGTCATTGTCATTGTCATTGTCATTGTCATTGTCATTGTCATTGTCATTGTCATTGTCATTGTCATTGTCATTGTCATTGTCATTGTCATTGTCATTGTCATTGTCATTGTCATTGTCATTGACGTTGTCGTTGTCGTTGTCGTTGTCATTGTCATTGTCATTGTCATCGTCATTGTCATTGTCATTGTCAAAATCGTTATTATTTTTAAACCTCATTTTCTTGAAATCGTGTCACGAAAAATAACACGACACGCGCCTTACTCTAGAGTGTGTGAGCTCTCATATGTATGAGTATACCCGTATGTGTGAGACTGTATTTTTCTATGCATGAGTATTTTCGTTTGTGTGTAGATTCCTCATCCGTAAGTTTTGTTGTTGTTTGGGGCAACGGTAAATCAACAAATTATATGGGAATTACGTGCACAGCAAGCGCTGCCGTCTTGGCCCCATATTGTTGCATACTTTTATGGGCGTTCGAACAATCAAGACACACATCCGCATATTCGCATAAACATCCGGACATCCGCATAGCGTATACTTGTTCTGCAAATATACAAAGTACTAATAAAATTAAAGTACCTAACGTCACAACCCCGCCAATAGACATGAAAAACAAACAGAGAACAAGCGCTTGCAATGGTGGGCGGCATATTGGGTGGGGACGTGGGTTCTGATAGGTTCTCTTGGCACTATGTTAGGGTTAAGCTAGACATCTAGACATCAGCTCGTACAATTGCCGAATTACGTGAGCAAACAAATGCAATTGTAATGGGTTAAGTTATTGAGGGCGGTTCGAATGTTTACACTGGGAAAATATTGGGAGTTAGCTGGCGCAGATTGAAATAAAATGTGTGGTTAATATTACTCTCATTATTATTATTTTTTTTATTATTATTATTATTATTATTATGAATATTCTTATTTTTATTATTAATATTATTATTATTATTATTATTATTATTATTATTAGTATTATTACGTTTATTTTTATTATAATTAATATTACAATTATTATTCGTAGTATTATAATTATGATCAGTACAGAAATCATAGATTTGCTTAGTTCTGAAATGTACCCTTTCAAATCTTAAAGATTTCTTCCAATTCGTAAAGCAGTAAAGCAGCTCTAATAACTATCTCATCCTTGCTTCAATAAGAATTATCGATCGTAAATTCAAATCTATTGATGATAGAAATACTGTTTCGAGATAAATATATGACGGATCGAATGTAGGGTCTTAGGGTCTTCCTTTTTTCTTCATTTTTCTCAGTGCTCTCAACTGTAATGTGTCAAGATTTGGTTTAATATTTACAGTGTTTTAAGTTTTAGGATTTTTTAGTCAAGATAGTTTTTAAAGTGTTTTCGAGTTTGAATTTTCAAATTTATACCCAAGAAATTATAATGCGAAATAATTCCACTTTTTTTTTCTAATATTTTCATTTATATTTGTTTCTATATATATATATATATATATATATATTATTATTTATTCCATTTTCATTATCATTATCATTAGTATTATTACAGTAAATGAAATTTTTTTCAATATTTGTGATTTGCACTTAAATTTCTCTCAGTGCATGTGTCTTGTAGTCAATTTACGAGCGATATACGATGTTTATTATCCATTTTGGTGGCAATTTATATGCATATTGGCCTTTTCTTAGGCGCTGCCCAACTCCGTCAGATTGGAGGCGCATCAAGCTGGATATGGAGATGGTGGACAGGGAGGGAGGGAGGCAGGTAGGGCTTTAGTATTGGAGGTGTGGCAGTGTGTGCCATGTTTTTTTGGGGCGTCGCTCTGCGTGTCGATGGCGTCGCCTGTCGAGGATTGATTTGACTTTGACACATCAAGCACAAAGCACACACAGACACCTGCACACACGCACACCTCGCTCTATAATGACATATACTGGCAAATTGTTTGGCAGGCAAGGCGGGTCGCTCCCCAACACCGACAACCAAGAACGGAGCAGGAGCTGGAGGTGGAGCTGGTGTCGGAGCTGGGGTAACAAATGACGCGCTGCCAACAGCTGCAGCGGCGCCAACAACGGCTGCCGTTGGTAGCGGAAGCGGAGGCGGTGGCGCCTGCAGATCCACGCTACATGCGAACAAAACGATACTGAAAACGGTTTCGGTATTCCTCGCCAGCGGCAAACGAAACTCCAGCAACCAGTCGAAGGCGGCAGCGGCTGCTCTGCAGAACAAACGGCAACAGCGCCAACGGAAAATGGACGAGCTGAGCGGCAAAATAAATCCCAAGCTCTTGGACAATCTGCGCAAGAAGACGCGTTTTACCAAGTGAGTACTGCTTCTACTTCCACTCCTCCACTCTTCAAGCCTGTTCTGGTTAGTGCTGCCATTTAGTCTAGCCTAGGACTCAGTGTGGGTAGCCCAAGACGCAGCAATCGAATCTCTAGTGCAGGGTCTTACAATCAGAGCTTTCGTCTTTGTCCTTAGACTAGTTACGACTGCAGGAGCAGCTCTTACGAAGCCTTCCAAGGACTCAGTGTTAGTATCCCAATAACCAGCACGAGTAACTCTAGTGCGATGTCTGACAAACTAAGCTTTCCTTAGCTCCAAGAAGAAATACAGTAACATCCAGACAATCGAAGTTCCTTCCTTTCTTCCTTCCTTCCTTCCTTGGTAATCCGTATTCCTAGAGTACAAGCGTGGGGGGAATTCAAGTGGAACCAAAACCTGATCTAATGAATAGAGAAAATCCGGTCAAAGAATCTTATGTCTAGACAGGAGGTCAGCTTGACCGAACCACCGAGCTTCTAGGCCTAATGTATATGCCGTATATATTTGTTCACAGGGACGAGCTGGATGCCCTGTGCCGGATCTATCGTAAGCTGGTGTCGAATTGCCAATATGCGGCCAAGACGCTCGCCTCGAGCTCCTCGAGCGCGGCCATAGCCAAGCCCCATTCCGCTGTCGAGGTGCGCCAGCTAGGTTAGCTTCTAGTTCGAGTTCATTTTAGATGCATTTCTTGCAGGGCATCGATCGGATCGTGTTCCGTGAGCTGTTGCACAGTACCTTCGATATTGTCACCGAGGAGATACTCATGGAGCGCATCTTCTGCAGCTGGGACAAGGCCCATGAGGGCCTGCCCCTGCGCCTGGAGGGCTGGCTGATTGGCTTGTCGACCTTCCTGCGCGGCACTCCGGCGGAGCGTGCGGCCTTTTGTTTTCGTGTTTACGATCTCAACACGGATGGCTTTATTACCAAGGACGAGATGTTCACGCTACTGCGCAACTGCCTCATCAAGCAGCCCCAGGACGAGGATCCCGACGAGGGCGTCAAGGATCTTGTCGAAATCGTACTGAAAAAGTTCGACCTAGACAAGGACGGCAAGGTCTGTGCTAACACGGCGTCTTAAGTGAGTCAATTAAATAAAGCTTCGCTGGTCGCAGGTCTCACTGGATGACTTCATGGGCACCGTCACCGCGGAACCGTTGCTCATCGAGGCCTTCGGACAGTGCCTGCCAACCGACAGCGCCGTCGTCTCCTTCTTCTCAACGCTTCAGGTCAAGAAGAATTCCTTAAAGAATAACTTGTTAATGGATAATTAAATAAAGCAATATGTTAAAAAAAAAAACTATTTATTGCCTTAAGACATTCTTAATATTCCAACTTTATTTCATTTAGTTAAAGAAATAGGTATGTAGATGTAGGTGTATGTCTATGTGTGTGTGTGTGTGTATGTATATATGTATGTATGTGTGTATGTGTGTGTGTATGTGTGTGTGTATGTGTGTAAATATGTATGTGTGTATGTATGTATGTATGCATGTGTGTATGTGTGTGTATGTATGTGTGTGTATGTATGTGTGTATGTATGTATGTATGTGTGTATGTGTGTGTGTATGTGTGTATGCGTGTGTGTGTGTGTGTGTATGTATATATGTATGTATGTGTGTATGTGTGTGTGTATGTGTGTGTGTATGTGTGTACGTATGTATGTGTGTATGTATGTATGTATGCATGTGTGTATGTGTGTGTATGTATGTGTGTGTATGTATGTGTGTATGTATGTATGTATGTGTGTATGTGTGTGTGTATGTGTGTATGCGTGTGTGTGTGTGTGTGTATGTATATATGTATGCACGTGTGTATGTGTGTATGTATGTATGTATGTATGTATGTATGTATGTATGTATGTATGTGAATATGTGTGTGTGTGTGTATTTGTCTAGGTGTGTGTGTATGAATTTGTGTATATATGCATGTATGTATCCATGTGTATGTATGTGTGTATGTATGCATGCATGTATGTCTGTACGTGCTTATGTATGTATGAATGTGTGCATGTATAAGATATATGTTTACATAAATGTATGTATATATGTATGGTTTTGTTTTTTTTCATTAATGTATTTTTGTATGTATGTACGTATATAGGTATGTGTGTGTATGTAAGTATGTAAGTATGAGTCTATGTGTGTATGTTGGTATGCACTAATGTATGTTTGTATAAACGTATATGTGAATATAAGAATGTATATTTGCATGTCTATATGTGTGTGTGCATGTATATATATATATATATATATATATATATATATGTATGTATATATCCACTTACATATGTAAGTGTAAGTATGCATATATTTTATATATGTGTAAGACCAAGTTTACCTTAGCTGCACTGCAAATTGAAAAAAAAACGAATTCTTTACTAGTGCCCCTCTACTCGATTCTCATAAATTCATGTAAGCCTCATAGGCTTCACTGCTTGGGCATAGAAGGAGGCGGCGGCTTGGGCTCAGCAGGAGGCGGCGGCAGCTTGGGCCCATCAGGAGGCGGCGGCTTGGGCTCAGCAGGAGGCGGCGGCAGCTTGGGCCCATCAGGAGGCGGCGGCAGCTTGGGCCCAGCAGGAGGAGGCGGCAGCTTGGGCCCAGCAGGAGGAGGCAGCTTGGGCCCAGCAGGAGGCGGCGGCTTGGGCCCATCAGGAGGCGGCGGCAGCTTGGGCTCAGCAGGAGGCGGCGGCAGCTTGGGCCCAGCAGGAGGCGGCGGCAGCTTGGGCCCAGCAGGAGGCGGCAGCTTGGGCTCAGCAGGAGGCGGCGGCTTGGGCTCCACTGGAGGCGGCGGCAGCTTGGGCCAAGCAGGAGGCGGTGACGACTTGGGCTCAGCAGGAGGCGGCGGCAGCTTGGGCCCATCAGGAGGCGGCGACGACTTGGACTCAGCAGGAGGCGGCGGCTTGGGCTCAACTGGAGGCGGCGGCAGCTTGGGCCCATCAGGAGGCGACGGCAGCTTGGGCCAAGCAGGAGGCGGCGATTTCAACTATAGAGGAGTCGGCGCCGGCATTACTATCAGAGGCGGCTAAAGCAACACAGGAGTCGGCGGCTTGGTCACAGAAGGAGGCGGCTTCCACTATAGAGGAGTCGGTGGACTAAGCAAAGCAGGAGGCGGCGGCTGTGGCAAAGCAGGAGGCTGCTTCATCTATAGAGGAGTTTGCAGATTGAGCAAAGCAGGAGGCAGCGGCTTGGGCATAGGAGGAGAAGGCGATTCAACTATGCAGGAGTTGGCAGATGAAGCAAAGCTGGAGTCGGCGGATGCATGGACCAAGCAGGAGGCGGCGGCAGTGTGGACCAAGCAGGAATCGGCGGCTTGGGCATAGAAGGAGACGGCGACTTCAACTATACAGGAGTTGGCGGCAGCCTGGGCCAAGCAGGAGGTGGCGGCTTCAACTATAGAGGAGTCTGCAGATTGAGCAAAGCAAGAGGCGGCTATTTCAACTATAGAGGAGTCGGCACCGGCTTTACTATTAGAGGAGACTGCAGTTTGGGCAACGCAGGAGGCGGCGGCTCTGGTATGTATGATTATCAAAACTATGTCTTTTTTGAAAAATAATATGTATGCATGTTTTTTTGCATGTATTTGCATACATGTATGTATGTACATATGTGTTGAAATATGTGTATTAACATTAACATAAAACGTATTCACAAATATTGCTCTCCTATGCGATTCTCATTTGGAAAGCGAGCTGCCAATTAAAGCTAATAAATATTATTTCTGCTCTTCTCTTCTTTCAGTAATGTGTTTAAGTTCTTCAAGTTCTTCTCCAGACTACTGATAGATGTCGATGAAAAAAAAACGGACCGGAGAATTTGCAGGTGAGTTCGTATTTACAAATATATATTTAACTCTATACATAAAACTGTTTTCCCCGACTGACTAAGTGACTGACTGACGGGGCGAAGTAAAAGTTAACTCTGGTTTGGTTCAAACCTAATTTCAAAGATCTAGATAACAACTTAATGAATGCGTATTTCACCTATTTCGGTAATTCCACCCGCAACTGTGGATCCTTGTACGAATTAATTTTTTATCTTTTTCGCCAAGTTTTCCGCTCTTGGGTGAAAAATGCGGATCAAAGGTTTAACGAGCGAGAGTTTATTTTTTGCGGCTTTTAGATTTTCACTATACGGGAAATACCTGCCAGTAGACCCCATATAATCAGACTGATTTTTAGGCATACAAATCAAACGATATTCCAATGTTTTCCCATATTTAGTCTGATTAAAAGTCTTAATACAAATGCTTAGCCTTCAGTTGGAATTCATGGGCAAGAATGTGTTGTCAAGTCAATTGAACTAATTATGAAATAACAAATAGATTATTTAGCCTATCGAGCGGCAAAGGTTGATCTTTAAACAAGTTAAGTTGGTCTGCACAGAATTGATGAGTCATGCTGAAAATTAAACAAACAAAGTCCAGAACGATAGAGGCTCATAAATGTCGATTGCAATGAAGCTAATCACGAAAAAAAATATTGTGTACAAAATTTAACAGTCTGCGTCACATATTCAGGCACAGCAAGGCCTACTTTGATCTGGAAAATTGTTAGATTTGAGAACTGAAAATCTTAAGAAATATTAACTCGAGCAAAGCTATTGTCTTTTGCACGCATTTTCCGCCAGTGCGCCCTTCTACATTGACCCCCTAATTCCACCCAAGGTCGTGGATTTGCTTCAATATGGTAGTTTTCATATAAGTTACCAAAACGTATCTTTCATCAATATTTAAAAAATATCTTGGCAAATGAGTTCGGTATGGTATGAACATATGGGCAGCAAATAGTGTTTCATACAACCGTATTTCACCAATTTTCCACGCGTGCAGGTGGAATTCCTGCAATAGCATCAATTAAGCTAACAATTCAGCTAACAGTCAGTTGGCACAAACAGTTTTATGCCCATAAATATTTAAAAATTGAATGAAAATATGCCTAAGCAATTTGCGTGCGTGCTTCTAAGCAAGTGACTCGCACTGTATGCCCACAATTGGCCGATTGGGCCTTGACTGTCTCGATATTGCGGCGCATTGCGAGTCGATCAACTTGGAAAACTGACCGTTAGCCAGTTAGCTGAGGTCGTCAAGTGCTGTGCTGCGTTCTCATGACCCCCAAAACCGGACACCAATCCGACTTGGACTTGGAAACGAATACGAACCCGAGCACGCAACACTTTGCGCCGCACGCGCCATGCAATTGACACATGCATCACACGGAAATGTTGCACGCTCTACGAAACATGAACATGTATCTCTCGCTGCTGTGTATATCTTTGTAGCTGTGTTGCAGTGTATCTAGTTACAAACGGGCCTCTGCTTTGTATTCGATAGTCAAGTCAACCATGAAGTCCGCTCCGTACACTGCGAGAAATATTCTAGAAAAGTTTGTCACTTTTGGATGAAATCTCTTGAATTCGAATTTTTGTGTTTTCATATATCAGCTTCTAAGGGCATTAAATCTTGAAAGAGTCTGTTAGAATATTCCAAGTGGGAATGAAAAGAACCAGTTTGAATGCGGCATTCGCATTTGGTTCTGCTTATGAACGGAACCTGGATTCATATTGAACCATTTCGAGCTCGGAATTTGAATTTCGTTCTTTTTATGAATCGAACCTGGAACCAAATTGAACCAGTTCGAGCGCGGAATTCTAATTTGGTTCTTATGAATCGAGCCTGGAACCAAATTGAACCAGTTCGAGCGCGGAATTCTAATTTGGCTCTTATGAATCGAGCCTGGAACCAATTTGATTACCTAAGAAAAGGGCGAACGGAATCGGAACAAAACGACGTCTGGCAGTGTAGTCTATATGGGTGGGCGAAAAGAGAACTAGTTTCTAGAAATTAATTTAAGGCGGCACGTCAAAACAATGCAAAGTCAAGTGTTCAATTGATCAATTGGTCGAGTGTTTAGCGAGAGGCTTTCGCAAAGCTTGAGCGCAATTATTCGATTAGCTGTAACCACGGAGACGGACTGGGTGACGGCGACGGCGACGGCGACGGATACGGGTCAGACGCAACTGGCAGCCAGTTTAAACGTCAACCGTTTAACCGGTTGTCAGAGGCGAGTTGCCGCGTTTCGGTTGCACTTGGATTGCAATTGAGAATCTGAGCGCAGTATAGACAATAATATCTAATCAAATTCAAATGCTTATTCAATTACGTATACGAAATATGACATACATTCACACATACACACGCACACACACAATTCGCAAGGCCGTTTAAGCTTGTGTGCGTGTGTGCATTGAGCTGCAACTCCCAGCTTCAGTTACATTTCCATTTCCAGTTATGATTATTAGGAAAATGACAACAAAAAAAAAACATAAATAAATTCAATCAAACACGCTCTAAGCTAAGCTTAAACTCTCATTACCAAGTCCACGTGTCGGCTAAGCTTCATAATAAAAGAGAGAAACATTTAATAAAATCGTTTTAATCTCTTCGAACGTTTCTAAATAAAAGCACAGAATATGAAGTTCAATTTATTCTTTATAAATTAGCAAAATATAAATTTATCCAAATATACTTCTCCGTTTTAAAAAAAACTTTTTCTAGATGAGGATTGATCCAAGTCCACGGTAAAATTTGACTTGAATTTGGACCAAAAAAAGGGTCCCCAAACTTAAATGCCAAATTGATTTAGGGGCCAAACTATGAACAAAAAACTAAACCTCGTTGAAATCGGTTGAGTTTTGGCTGAGTTATGGGGGTGGGAAGTTTTAGACCATGTCTAGATGAGGATTGATCTAAGTCTGGGGTAAGATTTGACTTGAATTTGGACAAAAAAAAAGGTCCCCAAACTTAAATGCCAAATTAATCTAGGGGCCAAACCATAAACAAAAAACTAAACCTCGTGAAAATCGGTTGAGTTTAGGCTGAGTTATGGGGGTGGGAAGTCTTAGACCATGTCTAGATGAGGATTGATCTAAGTCTGGGGTAAGATTTGACTTGAATTTGGACCAAAAAAAGGGTCCCCCAACTTAAATGCCAAATTGATTTAGGGGCCAAACCATGAACAAAAAACTAAACCTCGTGAAAATCGGTTGAGTTTTGGCTGAGTTATGGGGGTGGGAAGTTTTAGACCATGTCTAGATGAGGATTGATCGAAGTCCTGAGTAAGAATTGACTTGAATTTGGACCAAAAAAAGGGTCCCCAAACTTAAATGCCAAATTAATCAAGGGGCCAAACCATGAACAAAAAACTAAACCTCGTGAAAATCGGTTGAGTTTTGGCTGAGTTATGGGGGTGGGAAGTTTTAGACCATGTCTAGATGAGGATTGATCTCAGTCTGGGGTAAGATTTGACTTGAATTTGGTCCAAAAAAAGGGTCCCCAAACTTAAATGCCAAATTGATTTAGGGGCCAAACGATGAACAAAAAACTAAACCTCGTGAAAATCGGATGAGTTTTGGCTGAGTTATGGGGGTGGGAAGTTTTAGACCATGTCTAGATGAGGATTGATCTAAGTCTGGGGTAAGATTTGACTTGAATTTGGACCAAAAAAGGGTCCCCAAACTTAAATGCCAAATTGATTTAGGGGCCAAACGATGAACAAAAAACTAAACCTCGTGAAAATCGGATGAGTTTTGGCCGAATTATGGGGGTGGGAAGTTTTAGACCATGTCTAGATGAGGATGGATCTAAGTCTGGTGTAAAATTTGACATGAATTTGGACCAAAAAAGAGGTCCCCAAACTTAAATGCCAAATTGATCTAGGGGCCAAATCATGAAGAAAAAACTAAACCTCGTGAAAATCGGTTGAGTTTTGGCTGAGTTATGGGGGTGGGAAGTTTTAGACCATGTCTAGATGAGGATTGATCTAAGTCTAAGGTAAGATTTGACTTGAATTAGGACCAAAAAAGGGTCCCCAAACTTAAATGCCAAATTGATTTAGGGGCCAAACCATGAACAAAAAACTAAGCCTCGTGAAAATCGGTTGAGTTTTGGCTGAGTTATGGGGGTGGGAAGTTTTAGACCATGTCTAGATGAGGATTCATCGAAGTCCTGAGTAAGATTTGACTTGAATTTGGACCAAAAAAAGGGACCTTAAACTTAAATGCCAAAATGCCTTAGGCGCCAAACCATGAACAAAAAACTA